GTGATTTTTTTTCCCCAGAAAAAGACCAACAGTATTCTTTTCCAAAGTCCCACATCTTAACTCCTCCTTGCCTTCCATAATGTTGTCATTTTGAGAAAAAGTGACGTATGGGTGGTCCTAACTAGGATTTGGTCCTGCCTCTGACAATTAACTAGTCAAGAACAGCTAGAGAAGAGTAACAAGAAAAGAAAAGAAGCCACCTTATGTAAAACAAGGTGATGTTTGTTGTAATTATCTCTAGGTAAGCTCTAAATACAAACTCCTGGTGATTTTAGAAGTCAATTACAGAGTGACAACATGGTCCCTCAGATTACTAACTCTCAATCTCTGTTAACTAAGTAACTATGTGACCGGATGCATCCAGCCTCCTTGATGAAGAAGGTTTTTTTTATGCTGCTGTGCCATATGACCTGAAAGACAGATGAGTGGTGCTTAGACTGTTCTGAGTCAGGAACCCCTTTTTGAGAATTTGACGAGTTATAATCTCTCCCCAGAATTCTGCAAATGAACACAGACCCACCACAATCTGCATATACTTATACAGTCCATCCATGAACGCCACTGCGTAGGTCTACAAACTGTCTGCTCTGGAGTCTTCCCCAGAGTCTCCTCCCTTTTTCAAACAGTGATCACACTGGCTAAGTATTTCAGTGCCTTACATTCAACAAATGTTTCACTGTGACATAAAAGGGATCGCTGCAAAATGAGAGCAAGTATACACAGTACCTCAAACAGTACTTGGCCACATAGTCAGGGCTCAACAAATATTTGTTAAATGACTCAAAGTATTTAAAAGCATGACCTATTATACATTTTTTTAAACCATACAACTTGTCAATTCTCTCTTTCAAGCAGATAAAAATAGCATTCCCTTCAGCCAAAATTTAATGTACTTTATCTTTAAATTAATTAAAATATCTAAAGTTATGTTTTTATTACTACTGAATGCTACTAAGAAACAATGGCCTTTTTTAGGTCATTTCATATTTCTCTGCTCAAGAACTGCACTTATGTAAGAAAAAACAGATATCAAAATTTTAAAACAGCCAAAAAAAACCTTTAAACCAACGCAAAAACTCTATAAAGTTGCTAGCTTTATCATTCATCCCTTTCAGAAATAAGAAACTTTAAGGTAGTTTCCATAAAGACTTTCACTCTTAGAACAGCCATGTGTCACTGAACAACAGGGATACTTTGTGAGAAAGGGATGTCAGGCAATTTCATCATTGTGCAAATATCAAATAGTGTGCTTACACAAACCTGGGTGATACAGCCTACTACACACCTAAGCTACTGCTCCTAGACTACAAACCTGTACATGTTACTGTCCTGAATATTACAGGCAGCTACCACACAATGTAAGTATTTGTGTATCTAAACACACCTAAACATTGAAAAGGTACGGTGTTATGCTCTTACGGGACCACCATCATATATGCAATCCACTGTTGACGCAAGTGTTGTTAGGCAGTGCACTGATTGCACTTCTGTTTTCTAGGCTTCACATTAAAACAGATTGCTTATTTAAGGCTCATTTGTTTTCCTACCATAAAATCTTTTAACTAGCAAATTAATTTCTGCCACTAAAAATAAACAAACTACCTACCAACCAGTTTTAGGCTCACAGATAAAAATTCATACACACCCACATTCCCTGTGGATCCCATCAGTCTCTGATTTCTGCACTTGGTATAAATAATATGTTCAATATAGAAAGAAAAACAAGAAGAAGAAAAAAAAAAAACAGTAAGGAGTTAGTCTTATTTATGGCCAAGGTCCTTAGACTTTGGTCCAAGGATCCCTTAAGGGTCCCAGAGACCCTCGAAAATCTATGAGGGCAGATTTTCTTCCTAAACTTCAACTAAATACCACAAAAGAGCAAATGCAGAAGAATCCAGCTGTCCTCTTTAAAACTAAACAAACTACAGGACATTCAAGACAGTTGTAGACATACCTAACAATGCCACTCTTCCCACTATAATTTTTTTTTTGTTTTGGAAAAGTTATTTTTCACTAATAATGTTATTTGTATTAATACAATTTAAATTAAGTAGCTCTTCATCTGTTTAGGTGATTTAATTTTTTTTATTATTTCTTACCCAGTAAATATTGAAAATCAAAATATTAACCCAGTAAATATCAAAATATAACCCAGATAAACAAAAAGTTATTCAGGGTCCTCAATAATTTTATTTCAAGGGTATCAAGATCATGAGGCCATAAGGCTTTGAAAATCACTGGCCTGTAGCAACTGCCCTTAACCTTTCACGGGATTAAAAAACAGCAGCAAACAGCAATTGGCTGACTTGACCTGCCAAGTAAAATTAGACTTTCTGATTCAAACCACTTTATTAAATAGATAAGTACTATAACATTTTAGGCACTAATAGTACGCATCATCTCATTATCCACTGCTTTTCATACTCACTTTTATACAAAGTTTGAAGAGCTATTTAATTTTACATAACTGTAGCAAAATCCCACTTATGTGGACAGTGAACAATTTAATGCCTCTCTATGGACTGAATTAAATGTTGAGGTTACAATTAGTGTAGTTTTCCCATTTTAATCATCATTGCCCAACAGTTTTCTGTAGTCATTAGGCAGGAAACACAGCGTATATACTTGTTCTGAAAATATTCATTGAAATGATTAGAACTTGTCAAAAATTTGATATAAAAAAGGACACATGCCCAAAACACGTAAACCCACACTTGAACTAGAAAGTTGGTTGACTGCTAACCCTAACTTACAGACTTAAAAATAACCCACAATTGCCTGAAACTCAAGAACTGCTTCATACTTCTTGAAGGGGACAACCAAAAACCCTCCCTCCAGCCACCCCAATGAACCCATGAATTAAGCACTCGCATATACTTTTTCAGTCAAAAATACCAACAAGAGGTTATCAGACACATTCGGAAATTCAGAAAGACACAGAGGTATAACATACATCTCTACTAGCTTAAGCATACAAACCTCTGCCTATTCACAGCCCTGGCATCTCAGAGAGGCACATACCATGTGGCATCACTTCCACAATTCTGATACCAGTGAGTTACAGAACTTTTGCTGAAACTTTCTCCAGTCTTGTGTCTTTTGGTTAACTGTGTCACTCACTCCTCCTCAGTTCTCTGGGCAAGGGCTTTGCTGCGTGCCTACATACCCCGAATTACAGATACGTGTCCCATAGTGCCTTACGTACATGGTATGCACTCAATGAACACAACCATTTAAGGTGAAACAGGAGGACCGAGGAAAACATGTTAAACTGAAGTCCCAAAGCCAGAATAAGTTCACTAGATTTAAAACACATAACAGCCTAAAGGGCATGGGCTCTCCGCAAATTTCTTCTGTGATTTCATCCAGGGTTAGGTTTTTTAATCTGATACTCTACTGAACAGACATAAAAGATGACTATCTCGCTGGGCATGGTGATTCCAGCCTGCAATCCCAGCACTTTGGGAGGCTGAGGCGGGCGGATCACCTGAGGTCGGGAGTTCCAGATCAGCCTTACCAACATGGAGAAACTCCGTCTCTACTGAAAATACAAAATTAGCTGGGTGTGGTGGCACATGCCTGTAATCCCAGCTGAGGCGAAAAAATCGCTTGAACCCAGGGGGCGGAGGTTGCAGTGAGCTGAGATAGTGCTACTGCACTCCAGCCTGGGTGACAGAGCAATATTCCATCTCAAAAAAAAAAAAAAAAGGCTATCTGTAGGAACCCTGGAATGGCAAAACAATAAGGCTTCCTCCATAAACTAAAGCCAGTTTACTTATCTGTACTTTGTGTGTAGAATATTTTATTTCCTAGCTATAATTTTTTGTCCCCCCATCCCCTTCCAACATTTTCCGGAGAAACTTGTAGGACAAGAACTTTAAAACTAGCTACCCTTTCCTTCAACCATTCCCCACTCCTCCAAACACATCCAGATACATGAAATATACCAAGATCTGTCTCAAAGACAATTTTTAAAGTAGCTACTATTCTACACAGAAGAGGGTTTAAAAAGAAAAGAAAAAAAAAAAAAACAAAACCCTGAACTTTTCTCTTTCCTCCAAAACTTAGACCAAAAAAGTTATCAGAATTATTTAAATGTTCAGTATCCCTTTTTTTTTTTTTTTTTTTTTTTTTTTTTACCATATTAAACATGGTCAAAATACTGCTGTGTTCACAAAGAAGGAAAGGAGACAAAACCTGCAGGATATCCCAGCTGAAAAGGGGCCGGATTCTCTCTATTTGCTACACAACATTTGAGGCGCACTTTAAGTACGGGTCTCCCCAGAGCTAACTGGCAGATGCACGTACGGATCCCACATGCGCATGAAAAATGAGTGTGACTTAGACTGGTGAAAACATGAACTCTCTATGCACACAGCTCTGTCCGCTGAATTTCCTTCTTTTTAAGAGCTTACTGGTACGCTCAGTTCTTATGTCTAAAATAGATATAAGATCAAGTTCACATTCCAAGGGCAATTATGCAAAGAAAACAAGATATGGAAACCTAGCAACTAAAATGCATTCGCAGAGGATAATGACTGGTTTAGGTAGAAATAGTATATTACTAACCAACTTCACAAAGGGATTGTGATCTCTTGCCTCTAAAACTGATTTAAGATATAAAAATGAATATTCTTTTAAACTACAGCCAACCCCAGACTTAGAATGCAACCATTAACACTTTTACAGTGAGGCGGAGGCATACATAGATCAAAGTATATTTCCAAGTAAGTAATCACAGCAAACAATGTTGCCTCCAAATTATGCCCCTCTTGTCTGATGCAAGTTTTATAAAAAGACAAGAGCAGAGCAAACAGTCATGTAAGAAAAAGAAATTTTAAAGGAAGAAAAGGTAGAAGAAAAAAGCCAGGTCACTGAAAGAGACAGGGAGAGTGTGCGTGTCTGTCTGTGCCCGTGTAGAGAAGTGTTGTCAGAAGGGGACAGTATGTGCATATGTGTGTGTGTCTGTGTGTGTGTGCAGCAGGCATTTGAGTACTTACTGTGCCCGGCTCTCTGTCTGCTCCCGAGGTTACCAAGAAACGCACAGACATGCCCGTTCAGACACAGAGGCAAGAACAGAAATAAAAAAAAGGGGGGAATAATTAGAACACAAGCCCCAAACAGTTTTAAAAATGGCTTTTATTTATATAAGTCATTGCACATTCCTAATACAGTGATTTCCTGAAAATTACAGTATTTTGTAAACATAAGATTTACAGTTTAACCATACACAAAGCCTATTTTTTTATTTCTTGACAGAATAAATTACTTTTCTTCAAAAAATTAGTCAAGTGCAATTTTGCCCAATATTTAATGCATACTAGAATTAAAGCCTATGAAACTAAGTAGTAACAGATGCAATTATCAAACCTTTCATTTGAACACATTCACTTTCAAATTTAACTTCTTATTTCGCCCCATTTAACAACATTACTTTCTTTGAAAATTACCCAATTAAGCAGTTAACAGTTTTCCATAATATGGTACAGGCCACTGGCATTAACTAGGCAGTTGCCAAGATGTCAAGATGCCTGCAATCTAACGAGATCGAGACATCTACAGATGCCCACAGCAAACCCTGCAAACTTCCAGGGTGACCTGTGTTTCAGTGGAAAGCTTTGCGACAGTTCCTCTTATCTCATTGTTTGCTCTCTGTATAGGTTGGGGCTCTCTTTAGCGATGCACACAACTTTGCAGCACTGTAAGAGTATGAGGACAAAGTCCTAATCTGGCTTGCCCGGCCTCTCACCTCTGTGGTGCTCTGCATCGTGGTGCTTCTTGTCATCTTTTATTGCCAAGTGAGACTGCCCACTCAGAGCACTAGACAGCGCAAGAAGGCCGGCACTGCCCCCGAGGGGCGGGATTCCAGGAGGCTGAAGTCCCGAAGGGTGAGGCGTAAGGGGAACTGGGGGTCCGTGGCCATGAGAAAGATGCTGAGCTTGCAACTGCTGCTGCTGTTGGTGGTGGTGAGAGAGAAAAAGGAGGAGGAGGAGGTAGTGGTGACAGTGATGGCGATGGAGGCGGCATCCAGGGAAAAGCAGACATGACAGGAGGGGAAGGAGGAAACAGAACAGGAGGTTCAACAAACACACAAAGGGAGCCAAGAAAGAGAGGGAGGAAAGGGGAAAAAATGCGATTAGTGCTTTCAGTTCATCAAAAGCTTTCACCTGCTCAATGACCTCTCCCACCTTCCCAAAATATAATCCTTACAACTACACTGTCACTTTCTGGTATCACTCACCCCAAGACAGGAGCTGTTTATTATTAAGCAAGGCTGGCTACATCAGTAAGTAAACAGGAGCTAGTTCTTCTGTCTCTATGCGCCTCCAGGGAGGAGATCCAGCACGTCACTGAATCTAAGATGCCACAGATTTTCAGACTCATGCTGTTTTTGGAGAGTTTAAAATGGGGGTGGGGATGCATCCTACAATATAGTAGCCATACTCTCAACCTGTCACCAGATAACTCCATTCCACCCTACATCCTTGCATTGACTTACCACAGTAGTATGATGAGACAAAACCAAAATACTATTACTAACGAACAGAATTTGGAAAGATGGGTGTCTCATGCACCACCCAGGCACTTGTGCCCCCTTATTCCATCAAGCCCTCTCAGTCCTGTGAGGAAATATTGCAATTCTCATTTCCCAGAAGGAACAAAGGCTCAAAGGCATTCAGTAAATTGCTGAAACTCTCTCCCTAGGTGGGAGGGGACTGCAGTCAGTACAGAAGCAACTCTTACAGCTGCTGTTTACCATAAGGCCACAGACAGGAGAGAGGATCTCAGGGAGCCAGGCTTGTGGCCACTGGAAGAAACATTAGAGACGAAACTTTGTATATGCTTTCCTTCCTACCAAGCTCCACGCCTCAAACCCACTCTTTGTACGTGACTCATGAAAATACTGAGACCTAGAATGGGTAGGACCATGGATGAGGAAAGCACTTACGTGTGGGACTCCAGCCAGGGAGCCAAGCCCCTGTTCCCAAATACCTTTTCCATGATTGCACTTTGCCCCCATCGTTTAACCCATTCCAGAAGTTCTAAGTCAGTTCTCATTACACAGTAGCATTGCTCTTACACATTATATTTAAAAGCACATTGTATGAAATGAAAAAGTATCCAAGAAATGGCCCCTGCACCATGAATCTGACCACATTTCAGCTGTCCAACATAAAACTTATTTTTGATGAGGCAGTAAAAACGATTAAGGCTCAATTTCTAAGGTGTAATGTTAGAAAATTCTCCAGATTCTGATTTGTGCTCACTTCCCTGGGACTCAATTACTCATTTTATTTATTATCCCCTTGCGTGCACTGAATATATTAAATCTTCATGCCAGATCTTCAGTCATTTCTACCCAGCCCACTGACTTTTAACGGAATCCCAAACACACTTCCCAACCTCAAAAGTTAGAGAAAACACCATCGTAAAGCCAGAAATCTGTGTCTGTGGAAATTTTACAATGAATTTTCCAGCACTCCAATCTTTCTAAAAATGTTTAGGGTCAGGCACGGTGGCTCACTATAATCCTATAATCCCAACACTTTGGAGGCCAAGGCAGGAAGATTACTGTAGCCCAAGAGTTTGAGACTGGCCTGGGTGACATGGGGAGATTCCATCTCTATTTTAAAATAAATAAATAAAAAATCTAAGAGCCAGCCAACCATCTTTATAAACTTCCATTCTGTTCAAAGAGAGCACAGTTCTAATTAGAAGCAAAATGGGAAAGGGGGTGAGGTCAGAACAGGCAGCATTCATAGCATTCTTGGAAAGTATAAACTACTCATTCACCATTTGAGATCATAATAACAATTTCTTTATGAATAAAATCACCTTCCTGTCATTCCAAAGACACTAATTCTTGCTCTGTCACCTTTTAAGAGCTTGGCAATAGTGAGACATAAAACTGAAGAAGCTTGCAGTGGCATCACGGTCCACCAGGCATGCTCATTAGCACTTAATTAGGAACTAGACACCTGCCATAAGAAATGTGCTTGGAGAAGGATGAGGAACAGGTCTGCCCTACCAGCAATTACTATCATTACTTGGAGAGTAAGAGCTATGTCCGGCTTCTGGGGGAGAAATGCAATGATGCATACACAAGCAAGTGCAGCGGGTAATTAAGCACGGCACTAATTAAAAGAAGATGAGAGAGACTAAGCTGAGGGGAAGGAATCTAACCACAGGGTGGAGGACGCCACCCTCTCACCCTTCTCCCTGCTCCCCCTACTCCCCTAAAAATCTAGAATGCAGTCACCAGAAGATGACTTCAGAGCTGGGATTCTTACGTCAGACCAAACATACGCTGGTAATATTTAGATACTAAGAAAGTCAAGATTTCCGGCTAGGCACAGTGGCTCACCCCTGTAATCTCAATACTTTGGGAGCCCAAGGCGGGTGGATCACAAGGTCAGGAGCTCAAGACCAGCCTGGCCAAGATGCTGAAACCCTGTCTTTACTAAAAATACAAAAATTAGCCAGGCGTGGTGGCGGATGCCTGTAATTCCAGCTACTAGGGAGGCTGAGGCAGGAGAATCGCTTGAACCCAAGTGGCAGAGGTTGCAGTCAGCTGAGATCACACCACTGCACTCCAGCCTGGACGACAGAACGAGACTCCATCCCAAAAAAAAAAAAAAAAAAGGCAGGTCTGAAACAAAAAATAATTTAAAAATAAATGCAAGTTATTAATGATATATTAGACACAGGTAAGAGGATAACTAGTGAAGAAAAAATGTTTAAATGATATACACAGAATGTAGCATGGAAACACAAGGTCTAACATTTATTTAATTCAAATATGGGGGGAGAGAAGTG